CTCCAGGAAGCCCTGTACGCTTGCTTCAGGGGGCTGGGAATTGGGCTCTTACCTTTTTAGTTTCCACTGTTGACAAGAAAACATGAATAACCATAGGATGTGTAAATTCCCAAACTAAAACTGGTGGCTCTGAGACCTGAAAGCCTATTCCTGGCCTATGGGTCATCCTGAAGACATTGTGTAATATAAGGAAGGGCACCTTCACCCTCACGCCTTGGTACGCACAGCACTGAGTTTCCTGGGGCACTTGATTGTAATGACCCCCAACCCCCATCGGCAGATGGCGTCCCCCATGAGCAGAGTAGAAGAGGTGATTCTTTGAGGCCCATGTGGTGCGGGTCGGACAGAGGACTCTCTGACGGCGGTCTGACCTCGTGCAGGGCTGGACATGAGAGAATAGGCGGAAAGAGGGGCCGGCCTGTGCTGCTGATAACACCAAGGCCACAGGTTCGGATCCCTATATAGGGATGGCCAGTTCACTCACTTGGGAGAGCGTGGTGCTGACAACACCAAGTCAAGGGTTAAGATCCCCTTACCAGTCATCATTTAAAAAAAAAAAGAGAGAGAGAGAATAGGTGGGAAGAAGGTCATGCAGCAGAGGCCTTAGGTTATTTGCTGCCCAGACATGCACTTGAGCAGCCCACTAGCAGTAAAAGCTGCTGCCTTTTTATGAAAATAAACCTTGCATAGGATCATCCCACCTCTGGTGGGAAGAAAAATAAAGTACTATGCTGGGGCAGGACCAAAAGTCCTTCCAGAGTAACTCTGTTCTGCTCTCACACAGAGCCAGTGTGTGATGAAGCAAGACCACTGGAGTGTTAGCCTATAATGAGGAACTGATAATGACCACGACAGCTACCAAGTCCAGACGGCTGGTTACCGTTATTATCTCACTGAATCCTTGCAACCACCCTCAGATGTGGGCGTTATTATAATTAGTATTAATTTAAAATTCAACAAATATTTTTAAAATATTAAATATTGTCTCCATAGATAAATAGGTCCCATGCCTTCCTAAAAGAGACCTTGGGATGAACAGGAATCCACAAGTTAGAATAATGATGATTTTTCAAACACTGACACAGTAGGAATATATCGAGCAAACTCCGCATTGGTCACCATATAAGTTAATTTGTTCCAGTGGGGCCATATTTTGGCTCTGCAACTAATTAGCTGAATAATCCCAAGCAAATTATTTCACCTCCATGAACCTACATTCTCATCTGCAAAACGAAGAGATCAGGTGCTGCTCTTTGAACAACCACAGGTTCAAATGGTAGAATCAGTAAACACACACAAATATTGGCAATCTTAGTGAAATCATTACGATGGCTGAAGGAGCTCTCCCAACACATCAAGCCTTGTCATTGAGAACATGGAGCAATGCAGAGCCCAGAGCATCATCTGAAGCACACACTCTCTCACAATCATGCAAACATGCAGCGCATCTCTCCTGAGCACTGGGCAAGAATGACTTTCAAATGCTAAAGTTTTGTTTCTAAAAAGCAAATTAACCCAATTTCTGTAAGCTCATCCACCATTTAATAGCTGTACTGGCCCAAGCGTGCTTCTTGAGTTCCTGTTTCTCTCCTAAGACGCATGCACCCCATCATCCCCAATAACTGAAAAAGCCTCAGGCCATACCTGAAAATTGGCTACAATGCCCATTCCAATACATCCCACCAATCCAAGAACTAACGACACCAAGTTAAAAACAGGAGTGCTGAAACAGCAGGTTTGATTTTGCTTCTGTACTATTTTATATCTTGTGTACATCGTGGCTGCACCTGAAAAAGAAAGGCACTTTGATGAATTTTCTTTATTTGAATTTTTTAGCATGAAAAGCAAAGGAACAGTTTTGTATCAATTTTTTGCTTGTGTACATCGTGGCTGCACCTGAAAAAGAAAGGCACTTTGATGAATTTTCTTTATTTGATTTTTTTAGCATGAGAAGCAAAGGAACAGATTTGTATCAATTTTTTTTATTGGTTATGAATATTCATGGGGTACAAAGCAAATTGTCACCACTTGTGCCTAAGATGTGATGGCCAGATCCATACTGGCAACATGCCCATTACGACAAACTGTGATTATACCCCATGTCCCCCAACCAATTATCCCCCCAATTATCCTCTACCTCCCTCCCCGTCTCCCTTTCCCTACTCCACTTTGTATGCCTAGGTATGTTCTCTTCCTCTGTATTAATTTTTTTAAATGTCCTGATTGCAAGAGTCTCCCCGTTCACTCACCCCCTCCTTCCCCACCCCATCTCACTCCTTCCCCAGCGTGATGAACACACACACACACACACACACACACACACACACAATCTTGTCTGCTATCCTTTTCACGTAAAAGTTATTACAGTACGTGTACTGTTCTGTCACTTGCTTTTTTCACTTAACAATGTTGCCATGGACATCTTTCCATGTCAGTGCAAATAGATCTACCTCATAGTTTATAAGGGTCTCATCATGGTCTGTCGTATGAGATACTATATCTATTTTATCACTTTCCTAAGGATGGATTTCTATGTTGCTTCCACGTTTTTCCTGTTACAAACAATGCTGAATGAACATCCTTGTATATAAATCTTTGGGCACACCTTCAGGTGCTTCTGAAAGACTAAGTCCTAGAAGTAGTATTACTGGGTCAAAAAACGTGCACTATCAAAATGTTGAGAAACATCTCCAAATTGCTTAAATTCTGTAACAATTTATACTCCTACCAGCAGAGTTTGAGAGCAATTCTGTATGCACTTGCCTTTGTAATTGTCAATCTAATGAATGAAAAATGGCAACCTGTTGGTTTAATATGCATTTCCCTGATCATTAGTGAGGCTCAGCAACTTTTAGTATGTCTGCTAGTCATTTGCATTTCTTCTGAGAACTGCATGTTTATAATCTTTTTCTTATTTTTCTCTTGGGTTTGTCTACTCATTTCTAATTTGTAGTTACATTTTACACATTATGTCCATCAGTCTATTGTCTGCTACAAATATTACAAATTTTCTTCTGGTCTATTGTTTGCCTTTTAACTTTGTTTCTTGTATTTTTCATCATTTAGAAGTTTTAATTTTTTACCTATTCACACCTGTCAATTCTTCCCTACAAGTATTTCATTCTGGGTTTTGTGTAAGCTTAGGTAAGCTCTTCTATTTCAAGGTTTTTATAACATTCTCCTGTAATTTGATTCTCTTATAATTATTTTCACGTTTAGTCCTTTAATGGCAATTGGTTTTCATGTTTGGTATGTTTTTTCCAAATAGCTAGTCAATTAACTAAATACCATTTATTTAGGAGAATAATTTGGCAATAAACTATAATCTCCATGACAGCAGGGCCTTCTCTGTTATGTTTGATCTTGTGACCTCAGCACTAAGCATAAGCACAAAACCTGTCACTTAGTAACTACTTAGTAAATGACTGTTGAACAAATGGATAGCTATCATAATTTTAGATACATACTCCCTTTAACTCAGATAATTTATCTTATAGAAAAAAAATCACATAAATCTGCAAAGACATGTTTAAAAGGATGTTCACTTCAACATTGTAATTTCAAAATATGATTACAGTAACATAGATGAAATTAGAGAAAGTTATGTTAAGTGAAATAAGCCAGGTACAGAAAGAGAAATACTGCATGTCCTCATGCATAAGTAGGAGCTAAAAAAAAAAGGAAGAAACAACCATCACAATAATTCCTTGAACTCTCAAAAGGAGAGAACAGAACTAAGGACATCAGAGGTGGGAAAGGGGGAGCGATGGGGGTGTTAGGGAGAAATTGGTAAAGGGCCACAAAAAATGTTTACATTGTACAATGATTAAAAAAAGTATATATATATACTTTTGATATATATATCAAAAATAGCCAAAATGTTTAAATAGGAGAATGATTAAATAAAATTTAAGATATCCATTGAATGGATATCACACATGTTTTTAAAGGATAAGGGAGATTTGTAGAATTGACATAGTGTAATGGCGATAATAGTTTGCTCAATTTTAAAAAGCAAGCTAAAAACTAACATTTACCATAGACTATTTTAAAAGAACATATTTATGTCAGATTCTGCCTAGAAGCAAAAAGCCATACTTATCGCTTGCTCATGATAAAATAATCTGTCTTCTAAGTCTGGACTCTCAACAAGGATGCATAAGAGGGAACTAAGATTGATTGACCCCATATTTCTACTTCCTCTGCTCACTTCTAAAAATTTAGGAGGAGAGGACCACAAATAGGTGACAAGGTGAAACTTTCTACCAAGTAGATGAGCAAATTCCAAAGATGCCAAGTCACTAAGTAGGGTCTCCAGCACCTCTGTCCCTTCCCACTCTGCACCAGTAGGGAGGGACAGAAAGAGCTGGTTACATGGTAGACCCTTGGCAAACACTTGATTGTTCCATGGGGTGGGGGATTATGGAAAGACTAAGAGAGCACTACATCTTACATCTATATACTCAGCTCACCCCACAGTAGACTGAATTTTACATTAACTGTAAAATAGTTGTAATTAATGTACATTATGTTAATTGGCTCACGACAGGGTTGTGATCCTATCAACTGCATTTCAGGTACATTTGAGAAACTGAAAAGAAAAAGCACACCTGAACTGGAGACAAACTATCCTTGCTTCACCTTTCCCTAGCAGGTAAGATAATGCCTTTTCAGTGGTTCTCAAACTTTAGTGAACATCCAGGTGCCCTGAAGTGCTTGTTTACAAAGCATATTCTTGAGCCCCACTCCCAAAGGTTCTGTAATGTGGCCCAGGAACATGCATTTTAGACTGTACCCCAGATGATTTTCATGTAAGTTGCCTTCAGAATATACTTTGAGAAACATTAGCTTACATGTTGAGTGTCTTTGGCTTACATATTACTGTACATTTAAAGCCCATTTCAGAAATCTGGTATTTAAAACCACCACCTACAGCAATCCTCTGTAGGCCAAGGAAACAAGTAAAAACAGAAAACCACATACATCTTCTCTCAAATCACCAGATAAAGTGAAGAACAGTTCTATAATGAAGCCACAAATAATTTTGAATTTCTGGTCACTTAGGTTTCTCAAAGTAGGACAAAATGCTAGCTGCAAAGTTTGTACTTTCAAAAAATTATACACAACTGTAAATAACACATTTGACTTCACTTGAGATTGTGAATTTTTCATTGATTTGTAGCAAATTTCTGGTCACTTAGGTTTCTCAAAGTAGGACAAAATGCTAGCTGCAAAGTTTGTACTTTTAAAAAATTATACACACACTGTAAATAACACATTTGACTTCACTTGAGATTGTGAATTTTTCATTGATTTGTAGCAATTATTGTACACTTACCAAGAAATGCAGAGAAGTTTATCATAAATCCAAATATACCACTC